CCCCGCCGCGTATTGTTCAGCCCCGGGGGGAGCCTGCCCGGAGGTGCGCGCCGGGAGGATCGCTATGGAGACGCGGGGGCGCAGCCGGGGCGGGGGCTGGAGGCTGGGCCCACTCCCCTGCGGCCTCCCCACCGGCCCTCCCCGGGGGGCGGGGCCGAGGGAGCCGGGCCGGGAAAGGCGGGGCAGGGGGGCCCCCCGGCGGCCGCTACCAGTGGGGCGTTGGCTCTGGTGGTCCCGGGCGGGGCGCGGCCCGAAGCCCCCCCACCCACCACCACGCGGGCAGAACTGATCCACGGAGAGCGCCGCCCGGGCCGCCGCGCAGGCTGGACCCGGGAGGGGAGAGGGCGGGTGCTGAGGTGCCCGGGAGGGAGCCGGATTGCCCGCCCCGGGTCGGGGACGGCGGCCACGACTGGAGGAAGGTTACACATTCACAGCACAACGCGGGCGGCTAAAGTGCTTCACCCCGACAAAACTTTGAAACGCAATCGGCAACTAACCGGATCGGGTCCCACCGGGTTTCAAGAAACGAAAAGGAAAACAGCCTGGGTTGACATTTGGGATTTGGAGTGGGGACATTGGAGGCGACCAGCCGGAGCGTTCGTGGACGCGCGGTCCGGGTCCCAGGGCCTCCCGGCTCCTCCCGAAGCGCGGCGGCCGGGAGCGGAGAGCCACCTGCGGGAGATTTAAGAAGCGTGGCAGCGCCCCTTTCACCGCCCGCGGGGAAGACCGGGGGTGGGGGGGGAGGCTTTGGAACTGACCTCCGCACCTCAGCCTTCTGCGGGAAACAGATGGGGGTGGGAGCTCTAGAACTAAGCGGGTCCTCCCCCCCCCGCCTCCTGCGGAGCACGGCTTGGAGGACGGGGGTTAGGACTGTAGGACACCCCACCTCCCGAGGGGCCTTAGGACTGTGCCACCCCGGGCTGGGAAGATGCAATTGCCCTCGGTAGAGCTCGGGGCTCCAGGACCCCTCTCCAGCCCCTCTGCCCGTCAGTGGAGTCTCTTCATCCCGGAAGGCTCCACCGGGTTGGTCCGGTAGAAAGACAGGGGTGAGAGATGTTCAAGCAGGTCCTTTGGACCCTGGAGGTTCCCGCCGCTGTATTTCCAAGCTGAGTGCAGATGGGGGTGGGGGGGCGGCAAAAAATTAACTCAAACAATATTGCTCAAAGTTACCTGTTACAATGTCTTTAGGCTAAAGCCAAATATGAGCATTTTCTTCCCATTAGCAAGACTTAAAGAGGTTATATTTAGCCTTAAAGGTAGATTTGCTTTAGAATCTTTTAATCTGGGAGTTTCCACTGGCAAGCCCTTTGGGGGAAATGTGTGCGTGGAGGGAGGGGGAGGAAAGAGAAAAGTTCATCCTTCAAGTGTGAATGTCCAGGACATCCCGGGTCTGTCCTTCCTCTAGGATGGGGAGGATCAAAGGGCAGGAGTTTGAGGGTGGGGAGTGCAGTGAGGACCTGGAGGCTAGAGCTTTGCAGTGGAAAGCTCCAAGGCCAGGGTGAGGGGAGAGCAGGGGGACTCGGGCTGGAGAGAACCCCAGAGTGCCTCTCTCTCAACAGGATTTTAAACAGGTTGGGTTGGGTTTATATAAACAAAAGGTTCTGTTGCACTGTGCTTGCTGGTTTTTGAAAATTCAAATGCAGTGAAGGAGTTTGGGTGTGGGCATGCCTTCCTGGAATAAGACACCTGCAGGCTGCAAGGCAACTGCAGGGACTGCTCTGTGCCACTTCCTGGTCCCAGGGACGGGGAAGGAAGGAACGCATGGACAGATCTCCCTAACATGATGTCCCGGGAAAGGCCGAGAGACGCCGCTGTTCCAGTCACATACGGGTCTGAAGCAGGCCCAAACTGCGTGTTTAGTAATGCACATCAACAGGCGGAAGATTCGGGAACTGCAAGGGGGTGACCTGAGCCAAGTCAGGAGGACCGCTGGGGAGCAGGGGACACGAGGGTTCGTGGAGTGTTGGCTTTACGATCATACACTGAACTCTGCACACATGCTTGATGCACCTTCCTATGTGCACACGTGCAGTGTCCACAGCATGAAAGAGAGGGGATGGGGGTAAAGACGGGCTCCAGCTCCGGCCCTGATGCAGGGACCCCAGCCACGTGAGCAGAACAGCACACATCTCAAAGGGCTGGCGCCTTGCAGAGGTCACGTTCCAGTTCTGCCACTAAGTAGTTGTGTGACCGTCACCAGGGCCTACGTCTGGAGGAGATACTGGAGACAAGAGTAGCCTAGATTCCTAGCGTTGTTGCAGGATTATTAATGCCGAAAAGGGGTCCCTGGCGGGCTCAGTCAGTGGAGCGTGCGACTCTTGATCTCGGGGTCGTGAGTTCAAGCCCCATGTTGGGTGTAGAGATTATGTAAAAAGGGGAAAAAAAAAAAAGACTGCATAAAAAGACTGGCACAGGCCTGGTTTGGGTGCAGATCTACCAGGGGGCTAACCTTTCCTGCCACCGTCATTGTCACTGAGCACGAGGTCATGGGTCATGACTTTCATCACTGTCTCAGTGCACATGGCTGCAATGGTGAGCTGAAGGCTGCATGCCCATGTCCCTCTCATGGAAAGGCAGAGACTGGGACTTTCATCCAGTTTCCTGGGGCGGGGGGGTGCTGTCTGTGCTCAGCCCCTGATCCAGTCCTCTCTGTGTTCACAGAAATCCCCCTTCGCTGGCGGCCGCGAAGGCAGGTGCCTGGGAGGGGCTCCCAAGTCACCTGTCTGGCACCGCCTGTGGGGCTGTGTCCAGCTCACCGGCCCTTCCCCCAGGGGGTGGCTCCAAGCACTCTCCTCCCTTCCCCCACATGCCCACCATCTCTGCGGACCAAGCGCCCACTCATTGACTCCGGGGCCCCTGTGGGGCCGGGGGGGGGGGGGGGGTGCTCACACCCGAGCGGGAGGAGCTTGGAGGTTAGCAATGGTGCTGTGCCTGGAGCTCAGGGGCGCAGGGAATGTAATTGACATTTATATTTTGCACACACCCCCGCGCTTCTTCACGGGAAGTGAGTGCTCTACACTTTTTTTTTTTTAAGATTTTTTACTTATTCATTTGACAGAGAGAGCGAGAGAGCACAAGCAGGGGGAGCCACAGAGGGAGAGGGAGAAGCAGGCTCCCCGCTGAGCAAGGAACCCGATGTGGGACTCAATTCCGGAACCCTGGGATCATGACCTGAGCCGAAGGCAGCCGCTTAACCGACTGAGCCGCCTAAGTGAGTCCTTTAAAAAAAAATTTTTTTTTTTTTTTTTTAAGGCAGAAGCTGTGGATCTCTAGTGTTGTTCATGTTCTCAAAAGCATCTCGAAACACTTTTTGCTAGGGGCTCAAACCAGAACTCACGTGAATTCCAGAATCTGTTCCTTGCACAAAAAAATCCCTAAGCCAATCTTTAAGCGGTGAGGAGGTCAAAGAAACACCCCAGTGGGGAAAGCTGAAAAGCTGGGACCCCCACTTTGCTCTGTTTTTGGAATTCAGAGGGAAAAACCTCTTACAAACAGTTGGTCGAGCCCCTCTTCCTCCCCCAACCCCCCCAGTGGCCCTCGCCTTTGGTGGGGTTTGACTGGTGGAAAATCCCAAAAGTCAAAACAGGGAACAAAGAGGAGAAATTGACTGAATCAGAATGTTGGTAGAAGCAAGAGGGTGAAGGGGATTTGGAATCTAGTCAAGA